AAAAAACAGAAAGGGGGTGGAGGCCCGGCGGGGGGGGGGGGGGGGGGGGGGGAGAGCTTGGAGCGGTGACTACTTTACAACACACACAGGGACCATACAGAGTGATACACAAATAAGATACTTTGAAGGGGATTTATCAAAACTGGAGCAGACAAAATATGAAGCAGCTGTCTATGGCAACCAATCAGCTTCTCTCTCATATTCAAAACTTAAGTGGACAAACTGAAGAGAGAAGCGGATTGGTTGCCGCGCACACAACCGTTTTGATAAATTCCCCCAATTGTTGTTCATAGTTTTGGGATTTGAATGTATTTTTAAGATTTACCTCCGGAGCTTAGTGTCGCTTTAAACATACGTGAACCCTAAGAAACATTCACAGTGGCTGCATTGCACACATCCCAGACATGATACATTGTTTAAAGTAGACAAGGTTTGTTACAGTGTCTTGCTGGCTGTTGTATTATTGCTGCATTGTGTTGTATTGTCATGTCATGTGTTGTATTAAAACTTCAGTGTAATCCATGTGGCTGTGTGATGATGGGAGTGGGATGAGCTCAGTGATTACAATGTATCTAGTTGATAATCTGATAGTTTTATATTCTCTCTGAACTCCATTGTGTGTGGTGAGTTGTTTCTTACCAGAGGCAGCAGTGCAGTGATCTCTCTGATGGCTGACAGTCTCCTATCCAGCAGAGTTTACAGGTTACCGGGTGACATGTTTCCTGGTTACCATTGTGGTTGCCATGGAGGCAGCGGGGAATGAGACTTGTAGTTGGAGCATGCTCACTCACTCACCCCGGCCTGCGTGAGAACTCGTTCCTCAACTGCAGAATCTTCTCTTTATATTTAAATACAAATTAGTTCATTATTACATATTACAGAGCATTTCCTGTCCTGTATACTCGCCGCTAGTCCCTTCACAAATGTGCAAATTGTATAATATGTCTTATATCTGGAGGGCGGTGATGTCACTCCTGTATAATACAGTGTATATCTTATATCTGGAGGGCGGTGATGTCACTCCTGTATAATATATCTTATATCTGGAGGGCGGTCGGTGATGTCACTACTCTATAATATATCTTATATCTGTAGGGCGGTGATGTCACTCCTCTATAATATATCTTATATCTGGAGAGCGGTGATGTCACTACTCTATAATATATTTTTTATCTGGAGAGCGGTGATGTCACTCCTGACTGCCAGCGGCCATCTTGGTGATGCACGCCGGCAGAGAGAGGCGGGGACGTTCCCCCGGCGGGTCCCCTCCACTCTCATGCAACTGTCGGGTTCTTAGTCTATGACCGAGTGCCGGACTTTTCAGATGGGGGTGACACCAAAATGACTGTCAGTCATTTTGGTGTCACCCCTCCAGTGGTGTCTCCTGGGTGCGGGCCGCACGCACCCCCCTAGTGACGCCACTGACTCCTGTATATCTTATATCTGGAGAGCGGTGATGTCACTCCTGTAATATATAACAATGTCTCTATTTTATATATATATATTACAGTGAGGGAGGAGTGAGGTGTGGTCACATGACCTCTTGGTCTCAGTTGATGATATATCTTTATATCTAGAGAGCGGCGATGTCACTCCTGTATAATACATTCATTTCCTGTTACATTGTTTCCTCCACGGTCTCTGTGTGTTTGTTTCGCTCTCCAGGTGACATTCGGAGACTCCTAGGAAATGAGATAAGAATATTATAACACACACAGAGCACAACACGGCACTGGCCCGGCTGCTCGGCCCGTGTATGTCGTATGACCACCAACTGCAAACACAGATTGATACCCAGAAATGAGGACACGTGACAGGAAACACGGCCTGGAAATAGGGTGGGGGGTGTCACAGACTGGAACGTCGGGGTTCCTATAAACTGCCTCCACTCTGCAGAATGTACATTATATACCCATCATGTGCGTTTTGTGTGTGAACATAATCAAAGCTGTACCCGGGGAGCACACTGGCTGCGTTCTCACGTCGCCGTACTTTTACTTTACATTTTAACAAAAAATCATTTTATTTTACAAGTTAAAGGAGAACTATGAGGGGGGGGGGGGGGGGGGCTTTTCCCTCACCTCATAGTTCTAGCCGACCTGTGACAATGAGACTGTCACAGGTCGGCTCAGTAGATCGGGAGGTGAGCGAACACATACCGGCGTTCGCTCACCTCTCGATCATGTCCCTGCAGAGAGCCGTGACTGTCACTCACGGCTCCCCGCAGGGATTTCCCCCCTCCGCTGTCCGATCCTCCAGCGCTGACTGGCGGAACGGACAGGGGAAGGGGGCGGGTACAGCTGCCTCTAGATAGGCGGAGCCAGCTGTCACTCACGCAGTTGGGCGGATCCAGACATCTACGTCGGGATCCGCTCCGGCTGCGGCGTCCCAGTATACCGCGAGTTGTAGCTCCCTATATACTGAGCCTAGGGTGACGGGAGGACGCTAGTTTGTGTCCTCCCGTTACCCTAAGGAGAACTATGGGGGAAAAACACTGACCCCGTACTTCTCCTTTAATCGGAGTTTCTGTTTCATATTCTTTTGATCCTTCGAGTGATCCGCGGCCATTGTTCTGTTATACTTCTATTGCGTTTTCATCGCTGGCGTTCTTTTCATGAGCGAAAATGTAACAAAAAAAAAGGAGGAATTTCTGCGGCAGATTACAGAATGTTTCCCGCGCGGCGAGTGCTGAAAAGCTTTTCATCGTCAAGGTCGGATTGTAAGCGGCGTATTCACAGCGACAACGCGGAGAGAGTTCCATTGTGTCCGCAGACGGGGGGAGCCGTGTAGAAAGTCAGCACGTGTTCTATATGTCACGTGTCCTTCCAAATGTCACACGAGCTGTGCGAACGCCACACGCGGATCTCTACATTTATTGATTATATAATAGAAAGCAAAGATTGTTACACTTCCTTCATTAACCTCCGAGGCGTCCGCGGGAGGAACGTGTACAAAACGCACTTTGTAACTAATACGTTTCTTGTTCCCTGAAATATAAAACGTTTCTATTGATGGTGAAAAGAGCGAAGAGACGAATTGCGTAATTATGAGTCTGAGAAATGACATTGTATCCACTTATGTCGCACCGCGCTATTCACATTCATAGCTCCTCCTCCGGAACACAGGCTCAGGGGACACTTCATCCTGTTCACACCTTATGCAGGTTGTGAAATATAAGGTGCTGCACCCTTATATGAATGGGCACCGGATGGTAGAGGGGGGTATAATATCTCTTCTATTACAGGGAACAGAGGGGAGGAGGAGACACAGGACACCGGAGAGGGGGGTATAATACCTCTTCTATTACAGAGAACAGAGGGGAGGAGGAGACACAGGCGGCTGGAGAGTTGATAATACTCTTTTCTCTGTCACATTGCTCTTTCCTCCTTGAGCCTCTTCTCCCTCTCCCAGTTCTGAGCTCTGCTGTACAGGGACTGCAAGAGGCTGATACCAAATCATATTGAAGAACGTACACTGCTTGTAATGAAACATTTAATGAAGGGTTTATGATTACAGATCTGTGAGAATTTGTCTTTGTCTCTATCATTTAACCAAATTGATTGCGCTAGGAGAATGTGAAATGAATAATTAAATCAATAAGTGAGTGAACGGATGAATATGATAAATAAATAAAATGAAAAATAAATGATAAATGATAAAATTTGAAAAAGTCTTTCGGACGAAACGCGTCAAGGGATCACGCTGGCTCCTCGCTGACACAGGAGAAAGGCTTCACAAGGCTGAGTGTCCTTAACACTCGCGCGCTGTTTTATCCAAACGGATTCCTGTAAGTGCAATCATTTTTAAAATCTAAATAAAAGTTTTTGCTATTTGCACTCTGATCTGTCTCCCTTCTGTGGCTTCTCCCTTTATATTTTCTCCGGCTGGAATCTCCGGGGGTTACCTCCAAACCACACCTGGAGGGTGCGTACCATCGGTACCGAGAGGAGAGTGCAAGCTGTATGCAGGAGAGGAGAGAGAGAGGCTAAAATAGAAGCTCCGTGGATCCATCGACGGAAGAAAAAGTAACAAACACCTGCTTATATTCAACTTATCAATTTTCCCCTTTCTAATATCAGTAGCTCCGATTATAAGAACTCTATCCCTCCCAGGAGTCCTATTTTTCACGGAGACATTCTGGATTAGCATAGACTGATCCCAAGAATTTGTATGCTTATAATACTTGTACGTAAATAGAACGGATAGAAAGCGGTTTTTCCACTTGCCGCTACCTCTGCTGGACTTTTTGCCGTTGTTACACAATAATTTATTATATACAGGTGAAACTGGAATAATTAGAATATCGTGCAAAGTTCATTTATTTCACTAATGCAACTTATGCGGTGAAACTAATATATGAGAGAGACTCATTACATGCAAAGCAAGATAGTTCAAGCCGTGATTTGTCATCATTGTGATGATTATGGCTTACAGCTCATGAAAACCCCAAGAACCCCAAATCCACAACCTCAAAAAAGTAGATTATTACATGCAATCAATAAAACAAGGATTGTACATAGAACAATATCGGACCTCTGAGAAGTACAAGCATGCATATGTACTCAGTACTTGGTTTGGGCCCCTTTTGCAGCACTTACTGCCATTACTTTTGCACGATATTCTAATTATTCGAGTTTCACCTGTATATATATTTTTGATAATAAGATCACATATGTGCGGTTTCACATATAAACCACTATCACAAATTTGAGACGGATTAATAACAGACGAGGCGAGGTTTATTTATTTATATATCTATTTAATTAATTACTTAGTTGTTCCGAACACTCTTTCACAAATTAAAGACCTAAACAGCATTGTGGAATATTATCACAAGATACACGATTTGATTCATCATCAGTGATGAACTTTCTTAGCATATTAGAGAACACAATAGGTTGTATACACATACCAAGCGCAACATATTAGCTTATAATTGTCTTCTCTATCGGCTCTTTCTCCTCACGGCTGGCGTGAATACTGGCACCCGATTGGCTCCTCATCTCTGCGAGCGTTGGAGGAAGTCGCGTCCCTGGCGGGCGTCACTCGCCCTCATCTTGCCGATTGGTTGTAGGGAGTCTGCGGCCTCCTCGGAGTCCCCCCAGCGCAGCGCCTCCTGCAGGCGGAGGATATATCGCATGGCCGCCCTCAGCGTCTGCACCTTGCTCAGCCTCTTCTCTGTGTATTCCCGGGGAAGGTGGTGGCGCAGCTTGGCGTAGCCGTCGTTCACGCACTTCACCCGCTGCCTCTCCCTCTCGTTCCTCTTCCGGATGTACGCCGGCCCGTAGATCTCCTCGCAGGTCCCGTATTTCTGGCCGCCGGGCGCAGCGGGGAGGCTGTAGAGGGCGCCGTAGTAATAATCGATCCTGGCTGGGTCATAATAGGAGAGAAGGGCCAGATCCTGAGGGAGGGGGAAGGGAGTCACCTCCCGGGGGAAAGGGAACATTGTCGACGTGTCCACACCGAATTGCGACAGCGACCACTGGACCGCATTCAAAGGATCATTGCCCGGCGACATCTTCTGCAAGTACACGGGTTCCATTCCTCAGATCAAACCTGCACACAAAACCAATTCAAAATACATGACTGCACAATGTGCGTTAGAAGCTGCAGCAAGTCAGATAGAGCTCCGCCTCATTTCCTGCCTGGACGTCCAGCATCATCTGGCGCTTTCCTCCTCACCCTGACTGTCCCTGGCCCCGCCCCTTTCATTCATTGGCTTTCCGTTCTTTCAATCAATGAGGCATCACATGGGTGGGTGTTACCTAGGACGGTCTACATGCAAATACAGCCTGCCTAGGACCGCCCACTCCTCTAGACTGACACCCGCCCATCAAAGTATTTTGATATTTGCATAACTCCTCCCAAGAGCCAGCCCACTGCTTGCATCAGGGCTGAGGGCTCTTGAGGAGTACTAAGGTGTGTGGCAGCTCCCTCTAGTGTTGGGCTGTATATCAGTCCAGTGCAGGCAGATCACGGCTGGTGGGAGGGGCCGGCAGGCAGATCACGGCTGGTGGGAGGGGCCGGCAGGCAGATCACGGCTGGTGGGAGGGGCCGGCAGGCAGATCACGGCTGGTGGGAGGGGCC